GGAGGCGGCCGGCCGGCCCCGGGCCCGGCTCAGCTGACCCGGCCGGCCTGGCAGCCGCCAGCACCGCGGCGCCCGCCGTGCTTCCGGCCCTGAGATCATCGCGGCTCGTAAAGACAACAATGCGCGGCCTCTCTCGACGGCGTCGACGGCCGCGCCGGCCGCATCTGGCCGCCGGCGCGCCGCCTTTGTTGGCGCTGATTTGTGCCTGCTGCGACGGGCTCGCCGCCACCCACCCGGCCGCCCGCCACCCGCCGACTGGCGCGAGATTTTAATGAAACATGTGTCGGAGCGGTGGGCTCATTTTTCGCACCGCTTCCAGCAAGGCGGTAAATCAGATTTGTCACCCGCCCCGGCAGAGCGCGGCTGCCACTGTCTTTTTGCCGGTGTTTTTAGCGCACATTGTTTCGAATACATCATCTTGTATATGACAACGACCAATCCGGCAGCGCCGCGGCTTCCGGTCCCGGCGAATTAAGAGCTTATGTCTCCGTGGGTACGGCGGAATCTCGGCCTGGGTAGCTGGCGATTGTGGAAGCGACACGGAGCAGTCAGTGATTCTCTTAGCACACGGCTGATAAGAAATTATGAGCGGATAGGCTGCCTGCGCCTTATGTGTGACAGTATTCCTGTCTATAAGCGAACTCAATGAGAAGTTATAATCTACGAGTCGACACTTTTTTACGCGCAGGATTCGCCGGAACGCTATGCGGGAGAGAACGATGATCACGCATTCTTCTGTTGGAACTGTCGGAAGTGGTTTGGTTTGCGTATAATGTTCCAATTCTTTAAAGCCTCATGCCTTACATAGTTATATTTAAAGCTTCATGCAGTTATTAATTAAACCTTTCCTTCAGTAATTTATCAGTGAAAGCCTTGCTGACGCTGGCAATAAAAAGCTTTTTGAAATAAGCCGTGCTTAATAGTCACGAATATCTAGTTGCAACCGGCGGACATCCTGTTTCTACTGGACGCAAGCGCTAAGAAAGGGCAACCTTAAAAAATTGGGAGAAGGAGGAAAACGTCATTTTGAAAGGGAGCGCAACCATCTGCAATTTTTTTTTTCGTTTTAAGTAGGCGCCAAGTGACCAATGCAGTTGAAGTGCCCAAAACCCCTAAAAGCAAAACAACAAAATAGGCCTGTCTGGAGACATGCCACGGCCATTGTCCTAGTTCCTCTCCCCCCCCCCCGCAAACTTCTTGTGCTCTTGAGAAACAGTGAGAAAGGCGAGAAACTCCTTGGGTGCCTACGGCAGGTACTTGTGGTAAAGGAAATGGCGCTGGTGCCGCCATGATTGTAAAAAGACTTTGCAAATACATGTTTTTAGGAGTGTTTCATCGAACAAACGCACCTAACAGCATAGTCATGCAAATTGCCCCTATAGCTCTCTCGGAATATCCAGCCCATATGTGTGGGGAATGCAGAAACTCGGAGATTTAAACATAAAAATCCTCGCTGACATTCTCGCTGCCGGACAGTTTGCATGATGGATTGCATAATTTGTTATCGTTCTTAATTAAGCGCCACCCCTGATTTAAGACGATTTTCGATGGGCTCAATCCCGTGAGTACCACAAACATGGTTCACGCCTGTGCTAAAAATACCTTTGTTTAGACTCCATGGTTAATGAAATGACAAGAGGCTGGTTTACCAGCAAGGATCCAAAATCACCCGGGCGTCACATAACGCCAACGAAAGGGAGATGGATGACAGAAAACGAAACTCGTTCTGCCGTGGTCACGGGAGCGACCTGTGCTTACGTCAGCCATCGCACGTGTATTTTAGAGTTCATGTGGTGTTTTGCCCACGTGCCGGCAATTCATTGCGTGTCACCTTTCCTTTCTCTCTTCTGTGCGATCATGCATACTTCTTATCGTTTGTAGGTTACGTATTTCTTGGCGCATGATGGCTGAGTATTTAAAAAAATAGACATGTTAAGAATAACTCAGTTCCGATTTTTACCACAACCGATTTTTTCACCACAACAAGTAGTGTATTCCTTTTTATACATCGGAGAGAGTGATATCAGTATGCAAATATGACAAGATGCATCGCATAATGCCGCGACAGTTTGTGCGGGTCGTTCATGACAGCAGCGCTCACACGGATGCACCCTGCGTTGGATCGGTGTCATCACAAGAGATTCGCCACCTCCGGCGTGTTGCTGGCTGCTTCCGTTCCAGCCCAGCGGCTGACACGGGACCGTTGTGCCAGCGCCGTCGGCGTCCGTCACCCTCGCCACACCAGACTATGTTTGTCGCCCTGCGCCGATACACGCCGCGCGCCGCATCCGCGTCGGCCGCGCGCACACAGCGTGCCTCTGTCGCCGAATAATCAGGCGAAATTAATTACTCGATTCTCAATGAGTCCGTTTGATTCTGTTTGCTTACGCTCGCGGCGGGGAGCCGAAACAAAAGCGGCCAGGTGAGGAGGAGGTCGACCCCACGCGGTTTCCGGCGCCGGGCGAGGCGCACCGTAATCGCCCGTTTAATTTTAGGCCGGGCCAACACCAGACTCGCATTGTTTGTCGCTCGTGATTTGGCTGCGATGAAAATATACAGCCCCCAACTACAATATACCAGCAAAATGGGCAAATAAATAGGCGGCAGTGGGCCGGCGGGCAGCTGACGCGGCCCGGCCGGCCGGCCACCCGTTTTTTGCCGCTGTTTAAATACAGGCCGACGGGCGCTGTGCGGCTGCGTTTTGACGTCTTATGAGAGATGGGCGCTCTCTCCGGACGACCGTCGAAACATAGGCAGCCAAATTCGCAGCGGAGGATGGCAGGCCACGTGCTTGGTGGGGCCCGGATCGCTTGCGGAGGCGGATGACGGCTGGGAGCAGACACTGGCTGGGAAGGGCCGCATTGCGTGACGTCAGAGCCTGTGGAGAATCGTCGGCAGCTGGACAGGATAGGAGAACGGTGGGCGTGGGTCCTCCGGCCGCGGCGCGTACCGAAATAGCGAGTATGAATTAGTTTCCCCGGTGGAGAGTGGAGGCAAGAGAGTTGAAAGCGGAATCTCCCAAGCCGTCAGTACTTTGCTCGATTGGAGTGCGAATAGCTGTATTTTTATTTGTGTTGTAGTTTCCCATTCACAACCTCTACACGAGTGTACCTGTGCTTAGCCCTGTGCCAGTCGTTAGGCAGTAGTGAGTTACGTTACAGATTTGTTGAAAAAGACGAGGTTTTTTTAAAAAAAAGACGAGATTATCAGGAACAGTCGCTCCAAACGGAGTCTTGCCAACTTGATCGGAACCCGAAAAGTGGATGACTTCGCGCAGCCATGCTATAGCTATAATCGTGGTTTATCGAAGCGTCCAACACCTAAGCTCAATCCGCGTAGACATCTCACACAGATAGCATCTGATCTCGCTTCCAGCGGCCGATCTCACACCGAACTTAGCGGCTGGGAGCCAGGTTCGTACCCACGACCTTTCTCCCACGGTCACACGGTCGCACCATTTGAGCTACACCGTCCCCGTATTCAGACTCTGTAAAATTGACGTGCTGCATGTGCGCAGCATTACCCAATAATCTCGTGTTGAACCTTAATTTCATATCGTGGAAGTGGATAACCTATTGGTGAAATATTTCGAAGCTCACTGCATTGCTGCAAAACTTATCGCAGTTTTATTGAACCAGTTTTAATTAATCCTGCGTGTCTTTAATTTGTTGCCTGCTTTCTGTTCGCCTGATTAGAAACGAAAGCACCAAGATGTGGCTATGGATAGTGCCAGCCCGTTGAATCTTCAGCGCACGGTCAAGCTCAGGCTAGGGTCTTTGACAAATTTTATGCATTCCATCTGCCATGCAATTTTACTGCCTATTTCATTGGATGATCATCATCTTCCTTTGAAATACAGGAACAGTAGGATGCTACTTTTGTTCATGTGACATATCATTTTGCTGTCTCCAAGGGCCGCCAAATAAGAGAAATAATTTTCAGCCGCCCGTTCCTTTAGCCACGCACCGGCGACATTTGGCGAGATCCCCCTCCCTCCACCTGACTTACCTGTTGAATCATTCTTTTAACGGTTTCATAATGATTTGCAACCACTCCTCGGCGTAATGCTACGCAATCCAGCATCCCCTCTTCTCCTTTGTTACGCCTTGGTCACGCTCCATGAGGCCCCTCCCCGCTCCATGCATAACATGATTTATGAACGCCCCCGAAAGCAGTTGTTCCTCCGATCGCGAAACGCACAATATCACTGTTTGCTTCGCTATGAAGCAGAACCCGACAAAACCGTGCTTGGGTTTGAGGCCACTTCCAGTTGTATATGTCACTCATAGCTTTAGTGGTGCACGATTGGACGCTGTCATTTTGATTCACAATGGTGTGTCAGACATGGTGGAAAACCGATTATGGAGCTGTTCAGGCTTTCTCTGATTTGGTTCAATGCCAACTTTATGGCCAAAGACTGGTTGGCATGGCTGACTCATAAAATTAACACACGGTTGATGTGTCCAATGCATTCGTGAGAGGGATCTGTTCATCATCGCATAATAGGTTGCGAAGAACAGAAACATGTCTCCCATTGTGCTGCTGCAGTGCTATTTTGACATGCGCAAAGGTATGCATACGTCTATTTCCCCTCCGCACCACTAACCATTATTCAAAAAACATGCCGACTCACAGGGTCCATGGTCTAATGGCCCGATTTCATGCCAATGACATCTGCTTCATTTGGCCGATGATTTCTGCGCATTCTCCGCAATTTTTGGCTAGGGGCGAATGGATGCACGTGCTGAAGACTGCCTGTGGGGTCGTTTTTTTACGGCAACGGAAGGCAACAATCCATCATTTGTGCTGGCTGCCCGCACGTGTGCAAACCATGTTTGTCTTCCTGTTTTTGTTCGGAACTCGGTCGGCGACAGTGTCACGTTCGACGCTAGAAAATCGGCGCCGACATCTTCGGCCTGGCACCCAGCTGATGATTACACACCCCCACGTGACCCAGCCGCGTGGCAGCGTCCTCCAACTGACGCGCAATTCCATTTCAGAGGCATGTCCGCCAAACGGAAATCGCCGCCTTCCAAGCTGTCCGACGTCGACGGCGGCCAGGAGGTGAACAGTGAGGTCACCAGTGACGGGCGCGAGTCGCCCGCGGCGCTGACCCTGACCCCGCGGCCAGAGGTCAGCCGAGCGGGCGCCGCCGACCCGGACCAGCACGCGCAGAAGCGCAACATGGAGAACGTGCTGCGCAAGCTGTCGTCCCGCATCCTGGACGAAGCGAGTGCACCTGTCACGTCGTAAGTGTCAAACCTCCACCTTTTTTCCACGCCGCTGTTGGATGCCGCACCATGTCAGCTTCACAGGGCATTCCTGGTATTCCATTACCAACCCTTTACGCCAGATGGTTCTTGGCGGCCCGTTACGCCGCCACCGGCTCCACCAAAATAAGGCTTTAACGCCTTTATGAGGCACCCAAGCATCAGGTAACAGCTGCGGAGTCAAGTCGGTATGTCTGAAGAGCGACTCGCCGATCAGCAATGCTCTTGGTGTGGCATGTGGTCAGCTTATGTCGGAAGTCAATGGCTCAAACAAATGCAGCGGGACCGTGCCTGAAATAAAAAAAACACAAATTTATTTGAAAAAAATGTCTTGTTAAAATGGCACCCAGTGCTGCTGAAGGTGCCAAGGCCTTAGTTCTGTCTTGTGGGAAGTGGGGATACGCGTAGAAGTTTCAGCTCGCTTGCATTGAATTTGAAACGCTAACCACTGCAGAGTCTGCTACGGCTTCCTAATCTTACGATTTCCCTGGACACAAGCTACGCCACATTCTGGTCAGACTGCAGCAGCGAGGCTCCTTCATTGGTCATGCGCCTGCGGGGTGAGCGGACTCGCTTGACTCCAGATCACACCGGCCCCGTCACTGATGGAGCCTGGGCCCAGCGGTAGCCTCTATCCGGGTCGCAAAATTGTCGTGCGATCCATGGAGACAGTCATAAGCCGTCACCCGATCTTGTCCGCACTGTTTTCAAAATTGTGGTAGGTTCTGCTCTTTGTGGTTTTTTGAATCGAATGCAACTTGGCAAAACATTCAACAATTATCACCCAGACAACACCACAGAGATTTCATGTTAGCGGTGGGTACTTCGATCAGCTTCCTAACCCTGTTTTTCTGATTGCCTTCATCGTCCGACTTTTCAACGTCTATACGAGTTCCTCGAACCTGAGAAGGCGGTTGTATTTAAATGCGCGGGCAATTTAAAGCAGTGAAATTCAAGGGAAGTCGGGTAGATTAAGTCAAAGAACGGTCCACCTATGTTGACGATAAATAGGACGAACAGTTTCTCTGGATGAGACTGCTATTGTTTCCTACAACCTGGACGGTACGAGACAGCGATCCTCCAATAGGTCAGCTGATTATTATTAGCATTATTTACAAGCGATTCCCACTTCCTCCGCTGCACAGAGGCTTCGCCGTTGGCGCCAGTAACGCCGCCGCCCGTGACGTCACGTTGACACGTGTCTCAACAATGTGAAAGGGGCTAACGCTTGTAAGCCATTCATAACTCTGGATCACTCGGACACTTCGTCGCCGCGACGCTGTTCCGCGCACGCCGGACACGTCTGACATTTAAAAGTGGCTACCCTTTGCATCGAAGAGCAAACGGTAACTTGCGCACAGAGACGCAATGTCCATCGCTGGTCCAGCTTTGTGGCGTGCTTTTGTCGGTTTTGCCTCCGTACCGCTTGCTTCTCGTACGTGTGTATAACAGCGTCATCATGTGAGGTGCCGAGATATGCGCACTGCTCGCCAGCGCTATGACCAAGACCGGTATGAGAAGGGCGTAAATTTATGGCGTGGATCGTCACGAACCCTGAAGCCGTCGTATGCGCAAATCTCACGGTAATCTGCGCGGCCGGGTATGCTGTGCGTCTGGTTAAAGAAATGTGGGCAGACAGAGGGGTAGACAGGTAGACAGAGACGGACGAACGCTCGGAAACGAGTGAATTAAAATGTTTATTCCACGTGCTACTATGTCTTAAAGCTTACCATAACTTACTACGTGAAATGATTTCGCCAACAATGTGGTTACCGAGTAATAGCACGGATGGCGTTGTTTTTGTCTGTCTTCAGCTGGCCATTGATGAACCATATTCCTGCAATTGTTATATTATTAGCAATTTTCTTCACAAGCCAGTCAACGTCCCGTTTTAGCCAAAGTCTGAAAGTGTAACTTGGGTTTGGTGTCATCATTCATACTGATAAAATAACGATGGAAAAGAACGCGAGAATGCATGCCATGCAGATTGCAAGCGCATCGGGCCTGTTTAGGCTGTATAACATTCAGGCTAGCAGACCCCATCCCTCCGTGGAACGTCCTTCCTCATCTCCGCTCCGCGGTCCGGTGAGCACACGGAACAGTGACTAATGACATGACATCTTGCAGCTGACATGATCGGCGCGTCCTGCATTTCCCAACAGGAGAAGGCTGTTCGTCATGTTCTCATAGGATAGCGTACTTCATGTGGCCCTTCCTACCCGGTCGCTTTATTATCAGCAAAGTATTAGTGCTTGTCTTTGTTACACAGGCACCCAATGTCTGTATGCATCGCATTTATATTTATTATCGAAGGCTCATTCCAGCCAGTTTCTCTCAGCCAACCATCTATTTGTCAGTCATTTAACATCGAAAACATTATGGTGTCCATGCTTTAGAACAGTAAACGATGTCCAATCGTCCACGAAGCAGGTTAATCTGTTACTTTAAGATCGGACTTGCCTGCCATAACTTGCGCCTTAGTCCACAAGAGCGCAGCAGCAGCACGCGGCAAGATCGATGATGCCCCCCAGAGGCGTGGCTTGATTTGGGGGTAGTATTTTTTTCCGCCAGCCGATGTGTTGAATGCCTCTCACCGCTAGGACCAAGCTGGTCTAACTCTTCAGGGACAGTTTTTTCTCGGACCTGGCCCGGTCACAACCGGGGCATGCTGTGACCTGACCTGGCCCAACTCCTCAGGGACGGTGGCCTATTAAATCTGGCCCGGTGGGCATGCTGTGACCTGACCTGACCTGACTCCTCAGGGACGGTGGCCTATCAGACCTGGCCCGGTCGCACCCGGAACTTTTGCCCATGCTGCTCGACAAACAACAGATGGACCCGCAGAAGATCCAGGAGATGATCGAGCAGCTGCGGATTGTGCAGCACAGCATCCAACTGCGACAGCAGCAGGAGCAGTTTAGGCAGCAGCAGGAACAGTTGAAGGTAAGGAGCTGGCGCTCCGCTCGGCTGCTGCGGCAGGAGCAGCTTAAGCGCTAATGACAGCAGCTCATAAGAGCAGCCGGGATGATTGGACATCCAAATCCAACGGCAGCAGCCAAGGGAAGATTCTAGTCGTCTATTTTGGGGACAAAAAGTGTCGCACTGCAAATCGATCTTAGCGAGGTGAAGCTGCCGAGTTGGTAATCCTTTGATGACGATTTCGGTACGAAATTACCGGCCTGACTAATCGCTCCTAATATCCGAATTACCTGGAGACAAGTTGAGATGGATCCTTAGTGTGACTCGTTCAAAATTAATGACTCGATCTTCTGCCACTAGTTTCATTGATTTGCCCGTCACTGCAGGCCCAAAATCAACCAATGTCTGGCATACATGACTTAATCTTGGCAGTCGAAAGCAAGCAGCGATGTATTATCCGCCACGATCCGTTCCGTCCCTAATGAGCATCAATTCGATCCAGCCTGGCATTGAGCCGATTACGCCCTAGCCTCTTGTTGCGCTCGCTCCAGTACGCATTGTGCCCACCAAACAACGCGCCTCACGGCGACGAACCCAGCCCCGTGGTACACCGCCCGCCAACTTCCCTTGTTAGAGCTCAAGTGCGAAGCCACAATGGCACCTGAGGCTGGCCCCCGGACGGTGGCGTCGGGTGAGCGGAACGCGTCCGCCGCAGGAAGCGTTGCGTCGCGCCTGGGCACTCGCCGCCGCCGCCGCAAATAATCGTGAATCACTCATCGCTAGCCTGATTAATTCCAATCGGCGCGATCGGCGTGCGAGAGAGGCCCCTCGGCCGCCGGGACTGTGGCAGGCCGATCGGGACGAGCACGAGAGAGGCGCGCTCCGGGCTGGACGGCGTCGCCTGCCGCGGCCGCTCGTCACCCGCCACCCGTCTGTCACCCGTCCATCGCCGGTCCGCGCCGGCCGCCAGGACGCAACCGGGGTATTAATTTCGCGCGGAAAGCCCCAAACAAAGCTGATCAAAGATGCGCCGGCGCCTGGCCGCGATGGCCGCATCGGTCGGCGCGGTGCCGCGCCACCAACGTTATGACAGACGCGCGCGCCGGCTGTTGATTTTACAGGAATGGCTTCGACTGGCGTCGGTCCCGACGGACGGGCGGGCGAGAGGGGAGGGGAGCTCTCAGGTGCGGCCGGCAGCGCCGCCATAGGCGGCAGCGGCCGACGCGGCGGTGACGTGTGACGCACGCGCCTCAGACACAGCCTCGGCCTCGCACCGCCGTCGCCGTCAGGGCTGCTTACCCCAAGGCCCGAGGGCGCCCGCATATTTATGGTTGTTTATTCGCGCCCAGTTTTAAGCATGAACATATATCATGCCCAGTCATTCATAAGGGCCATTTATTAGCCGGTAAAAATCACAATCGGATGGGTTTGGGGACTGGATGAGGATTGATGTGCGCCGTTTGTGAGTGCCGCGCCACCTGAAGTCACCGCCAGCTGTTGTTTGCGATAGTCGACTGTTCTGTTGACTGTGCGCTTAATGGAATTAGCGCATCCGGCTAAAAGCAGAAAGTAAGGGGAACATGAGTGTTAACTTCCCCAAGTCGCATTGTGCTTCTTTTGCGACACCAACTGCTTTCTGTGCTGTCAAGACGGAGAACACCGGGCTCGCGTGTGCTGGTTGTGTTCCATGACAAACGGTCGTGGACGCCCGATGGGAACGACAACTGACGCCAAGCCTCGGCCAAGGCGAACCGGGAAGTCATCGCGAACTAAGAGAACCATGAGTTGCAACTCTGGCAGAATCTCGCCTCTTCCCAGTCGAGCGTCTGTTTCTGTTTTTCTACCATGCATCACTTTGATGGCACCATTCATCTATCGGGTTTATTCCCTCGTCCTGAAGGTGATCAGGGCAGCATCATTTCCCCGCGAAGCCGTATTTTCCTCGCCTGCAAAAACACATCTGAGCCACGTTTCGGAAGTGCGGGTCACTGCCGCACTGCCCGCACTGCCGATGGGAGCCATTGAAGGCCGAGCGAGCCTCTCCCCTCCCTGCCCCGGCAGCGGAACCCTCCTGCACGGCGCCGGCACAGCGGCGGTGTGTTGGCAGATTGACGGCCGCTTGGCCGGGCCTCAAAACGAGCCCTGACGGACGGCGGCACTACGCCGGGAGCTGGGACGGGCAGTGTCGTACAATGCACGGGCTGCTGAGGGCAGAATCGGCCTCAGTAACAGCCCTGCTGGTACACGGCTGGACCATTAGTTCATTTGTTCGGCCCTGGCCCGCCGACAGCTGGCTGTGCTGGCCTGTCAGTCAAACGGGCGATCCTGCATGCTCACCTGACTCATCCACGGCACGTGTGATTCAAACACCAGTCACGGAAGATGTGACTACGGCGAGGGCACTGTCGGACTGGTCGAAAACACGCTGTCTCTGTCCTTGCAAGCCCCTTCTCCATCTACGCTTGCGGAACGCAAAATATCAAGCGTGCAATCCCATGGTCAGGCTGGCATCGATGTTTCCGGTCTGCGCGTTGCGCTGGAATGTTTCTTGATCTGTATAATTTGTGAAGACATTTAGTTGTAAGTAGTCTTCTGCTTTTGTTGAATAGTTTACTTCGAGCGGTTTAAAAGCTTCCTGTTTATCTTCAGGCTCGGCCTCGTTATTTTGCTATGATGTGATGTTATTGTCCTGCTGTGTCATTCCAGTATATGCAAAAACTGCTCCGTAGTAGTTGTTTTTTGTAACAACCACGCAAAGCTAACGATATTGATCCATGGGACACATAGATATGGGCGTAGCACTGCAGAAAACACGAGTTTCATGTGCCGAGCACCGGCACCAGGCCGACAGGAGACATCAGTCTCCCCACATCCTTTTATCCTATGAAAAAGCGTGGGGCGAAATTCTGTCTTGGCAGATCCTACTCTCTGACGCTAAAGCCGGCGTTTTCTGCGAACGTGCCTCAGCTCGGCTGCCAAAGTGGGTCAGCCCCCGCCCTCACACACCCTGCCAGTCGGATCTGATGATCGATGATCAATGATCGTGGCCGGACCTGACCCCATCATCGCCTCAGACGGTCCCACTTAGCGGCCACTCCTCCCGGGCGCGTGCAGCAGGGCACGCGCACGTGCACAGACGGTCCACGTTACCTCCACTCCGCAGAGAGCGGCCGGCGGCGCGGCCCGAGCCCCCGGCCGCGCGCGCGCCGGCCGCTTCTCCCGCCACCGAAACTTGGCGGCCGCCGCCCGTTATATTCACGAGAATTTTGTCACGTCGTTTATATTTAGGACAATAAGCGGGCAGGAATGCGCTGAGCCCGCTGTAGCGGACAACGGCGGCGTCAGGCGGCCATTGGCGCATTATCGTGCGTGCCAGCGGCTCGGCCAGCGGCGGACGGGCTGGCCGGTCGCCTATCGGCCGCATACCGGTACAGATTGCACCGCACGCCAAGTCCCAGCCGATAGCGGAGAGGCGACTTTGAAAAAAGATCGGAGTGTTTTGTGAAACATCATGGCCGTACAGGAGTACCCGGTTGGCAACGAACTGAGAATGCTGATCCCCATTGATGATTGGTTTGGTGTGTTTCGGGTGCAGGTTTTGGCGTGTTTTCGGCGCAGGAGTAGTTTTTTTAAAAATCACATCGTCATTATCTCCTTTCCTATTGCATGACTAAGTCAGCCATCTTGTAGCTGCCGGATTCCGGAATAATGAACCGCAGCATTGACTCATTAATTACCCGCAGAACATCCCTGTCTGTGTTTTCTTCTTTCCAATGCGCTGTAAATGATGTAAAAGTGTCACAGAAGTGCAATAGGTACATGGTTCTTTCCTTCGAACAAAATGCCTTTCTTTCCAACCCCTGCATCTGTTCTTCACCCTGTAGACATGTCGAGCGCCGTGACAGGAACGACGCAGCTAGACATGTTATGTTGCTAAGGGAAGAAAGGCCGGATGCTACTACCCCAAATGCTACTGGCGTTTATTTAGTCTTTGCCCTCATCTTGATAGGGGGGGGGGGGGGCGGTTCGAAGCTCAAAAGTTTTTTTGAGAATACATTACCGACGCAAGAGATTGTACCCAAATTTTCAATAGCCTTCGGGACATTCATTGCATTTTTACCCCCCCCCCAAAAAAAAACGTGATTCTAGCTATTCTGGGTTTGAGACAGGGGTGGTTTTTGAGGAACATTGCACGGCGATGTACGGCCGGCTGGGGCGGTGGGCGGCAACTGACGGTGCCGCGGGACGTCTGAACGTAGCGCGGCCGGCCGGCCGACCCTTACATTAATGGAGCCATGCATCATAATGTTGTGCTCAAGGCACATGACCAGCTACACCATTGTACTAATAATGGAACACAAGAAACACGCTTGTTCAAGTTTCGTCTTGCCACAACGCATGATCTCGTATGCATTAGTCTGTAAAGCCGCGAAGTGTGGTTTTTCTTGAAAATTTTGGCTTGACCTGACATAATGGGGTCAATTCTTAACTTCCTAACAACATAAAAACACGCTCTCATCACGCGAAATCTCATTGAGAATAATCTAATTATATCAGCTGTTAGATTAGCTAGGCTCTATCATCACTAGTTTGGAAACGCTGGGGTCGGGGGATCGCATCGACCCCCTTTCAGTCCGCGTTGTAAAAACAGGAAATCAGGTTCAGGGTTAAGAATTACCAAACTGCTTACTTCCTAACTGCCGGGAATCGCTGCCGTCCTTTGCACGTTTCTCCCTTGAAAAACTACGTTGTATACTTATCCATAAAAATATGTACGTTAGGCCATGCATCTTACATCTTAGATATTCATGAGCGGGTCTATCTGATATCACTAGACAGACAACACCCATGTTAACTTGCTAGCAGGCGTGGGCCATCGAAACAGCGGCATCAGCTGTAAAATGGTGCAGACTTGCAGGGAAGCTGAAAACAGAGGTGAGCCGAACAAGGTACGGGCAGCCCAACCCGACGGTCCTATTTTGTAAAACGCACGCGTTCATCAGCCGAAATAAATATTTCATTTG